ATTATAGGGAAATAGAGGCGTGTAGGAATGATTGTATGTTATTTTGGAAAGAGTATGAAGATGTGCAAAATTGCTTACATTGTGGAGAGCCGAGGTACAAAGTGGAGGAAAATTGTAAAAAATTACCAAAGGGGAAAGGAGTGCCATACAAAGTTTTGCGTTACTTTCCTTTAACCCCAAGGTTGCAGAGATTATTTATGTCATCAGAAGTAGCATCAAGTATGAGATGGCATCATGACCAGCGTTTGAAAGATGGGGTTCTTAGACATCCAGCAGATTCTGAAGTGTGGAGATCTTTTGATAAGGCAAATCCAGGTTTTTCTCGAGAACCTCGTAATGTTAGAATTGGGTTATCTCCTGATGGTGTCAATCCTTTTGGCAACATGGACAGTTCTCATAGTACTTGGCCAGTTATTGTCACTGCATATAACCTACCTCCTTGGATGTGTATGAAACAATCCTATTGCATGATGTCGTTGTTGATACCTGGTCCTAAAGCTCCGGGAAATGATATTGACGTATACTTGCAGCCTTTGGTAGAGGAGCTTAAAGAATTATGGTATTATGGTGTTGATACATTTGATGCTTCAAAGAAAGAAACATTCCGCATGCGTGCAGCATTATTATGGACAATTAATGACTTTCCCGCTTATGCGAACTTATCAGGATGGAGTACAAAGGGAGCATTAGCATGTCCTTCATGCAATAAGGAGACTCATTCCATTAGATTGAAAAAAGGGTGTAAGTTTTCTTACATGGGTGCTAGACGGTTTTTACCTTCTGATCATAAATGGCGCGATAATTAGTGCTCATTTGATGGAAAGGTAGAAAAAAGATCTCCTCCAACACAAGTATTTGGTGATCAGGTGCTGAAACAACATGAAGGGCTTGTATTCGATGAGTTCGGAAAAGGTGAGAATAAGAAGATTACAAAATATGATCGTCAAAAGTATTTGAATTGGAAGAAGAAAAGTATATTTTTCCAATTGCCTTATTGGAAGAAGATTTTGTTGCGCCATAATCTTGATGTAATGCACATCGAGAAGAATGTATGTGATAATATCATTGGCACTCTACTTGACATTGAAGGGAAAACAAAGGACGGTCTGAATGCTCGGCGCGATTTGGAGCATATGAAAATACGAAGAAAGTTGCATCCGGTGGAGGAAGATGGGAAATGGAAATTGCCACCTGCATGTTACAGTTTGCTTAAAGAAGAAAAGAAGAGGTTGTGTACATTTTTGAAGAAAGTAAAAGTTCCAGATGGATTTTCCTCGAATATTTCAAATTGTGTGAGGCTGAAAGATCGAAAGATATTTGGTCTAAAGAGCCATGATTCCCATATTATCTTGGAGCGTCTCCTTCCTCTTGCTTTACGTGGAATTGTTCGTCCAAGTGTTTATGATGCCATCACAGAATTGTGCATATATTTTAGAGATTTGTGTTCAAGGTAACTAAGTGTAGATGTGCTTAAACACCTTGAGTCTTCGATTCCAATAACATTGTGCAAGCTCGAGAGATTGTTCCCACCATCTTTTTTTGATATCATGGTCCACTTGACTATACATCTTGCTACGGAAGCAAAACTTGCTGGGCCTGTACAATTCAGATGGATGTACCCTATTGAGAGGTAATGTAATGTTTACCTTATATTTTTCTTATTTTTGAAGTGTGATATTTGAATTCGATGGAGATTTTATTATTGATGATCATATATTTCTGTAAATAGGTATCTTCGAAAATTGAAACGTTACGTCCGAAATAAAACTCATCCTGAAGGTTCAATGGCAGAAGGATATATTGTTGAAGAAAGTATCATATTTTGTTCAAGGTACTTACAAGGGATAAACAATCCATTCAATAAACTTGAAAGAGATGCTGATGGAGATGACAGTGTTTCAAGTAAGAAATTGTCAGTTTTTGCACGTGCTGGTTATCCGTTAACCATGGATGAAAATAGATTATTGGAGGAATTAGAAAGAAATCAAGCACATCTCTACATTTTAAACAATTGTGAAGAAGTAGAACCATTCTTAAGGTATGTCTCCTAATTATTATGTCACTTCAATTGATTACTCTCTAGAATAATATTTTTATCTATCCATGACCTAAGAACTTGTGATTTTGAATTATACAATCATATAATACTTTAGCATATATATATATATATATATTTATGAAGTACGGGTATTATGTTAGTATGGGTTGTGAAGGAATATTTTAATTGTACTTGTTCAAATTTTGTAGTCTGATTCTGCTGCAACGTGCTTAAAGTATATCCTTTTATTAGTATGATGATTGCCTGATATAATATGGTGTGACGAATGAGAAAAGAAACTGTAGGCTATCATACGGACTTGGATCAGTATCATATTAATGTTAGATGTCTAATGGTTTGGTGTCCGTATGCATGAACTTTGGATTTGTAATGCAGCATATACAATCCTTTAGTCGGCCGACCGCAGAAAGAGGACATGGAACATGCCTTTATATTAGCTGATAAATATAATCTTGTTCTAACTACTGTTATTATGTTTTTCAGAGAATATGAAAGTTCTCATCATACTGTAGGTTTTGATGTCTGGTTTTATCATCATGTAAGTTCTTTTTTCTTTATCTATATAAAAAAGCTTTTATCTATCATCATACCGTAGGTTTTGATGTCTGGTTTTATCATCATGTAAGTTCTTTTTTCTTTATCTATATAAAAAAGCTTTTATCTATATTTACTTAAATATATGATTTTTTAATTTTCATAGGTATCAGAACTATGCAAAGGCAAAGATGCACAATTGACTAAAGAGCTAATTTCATTAGCTCGAGGTCCTCTATGTGGCGTTGAGAGATTTCATGGTTATGTGATAAATGGTTTTAGATTTCATACAAGAGATCATGAAAGTCAAAAGGTGAAGCAAAATAGTGGCATTTTGCTACGAGGATTATTGGGTTCAAAAGCTATGGATTACTATGGAGTTATTACCGAAATAATGGAGCTTCAATACCTAGGAGGCAATAGGGTGGTCATGTTCAAGTGTGATTGGTGGGATGTTGAAAACATCGGCAAGGGAGTAAAAATGGATAGATATGGCTTTGTTAGTGTCAATACAACTCGTAAGCTATTGACTGATGAGCCATTTGCACTTGCATCTCAGGTGGAACAAGTATTTTATGTTGAAGATGGATCTAATCCTAATTGGCTAGTTGTTTTGAAAGGTCAATCTCAAAGCTCGTTTGATTCCCTCACTAAAGACCCAACTGATGTACAATCAGGTGATCAAGAAGAGGCTTTTCAACAAGACACACCTGATCCTATTTATCCAAACCCCTACCCAGTGCAAGATGATGAACTAATTGGTTGGGAGGAAGACTCTAATGAAGATGGAAATGAGATGCATGTTGATTCTGATGATGACAGTCATGATAGTGAAATTAGTGCATATGGAGATGATAGTGATCAGGATGAATAAGTTGACATTGACTTCTTGTCATAAGCTACTAAAATTGTGATCACTGTACATTTTTGTTTGGCAGGTACCACTTGGCGTACTAGCACTTGAGACACATTTTGGTTGCTTTTTTCACTTAACATTGCTATAAATGGAGTAGACAACTCATAATTTGTTATTTTTTCATTTGAAATTTCAGATATAAAGTTAGACTAAGACAGTTTTTAAAGTCAAGAATGCATTAGATGCTTCACAACTCTGCAATTTTTAAACTAACGTTTTCTTGAAAGTTTAGAATTACAGTTATTGATGTTTATTTTACCATTTCACAAAGAAAAACCAGTTGCTTCGTCTTCCCCTGCTCTCCAGCTTAGCTGTGTCTCGCTTCATGTTCAGGGACGACTGCGAATGCAGACTTTTAGCTTACCAAGAACACCAATCAATTAATAGAAAAAGATGCCCCAATTGTCTTTCCATTATGATCCCAACAAGCCAATTACATCTTATGGTACAGGTTTAGGTTTTGTCTCTTCTTTTTTCTTCAATTTTGTTTGTACTTTTTCTGATTTTGGTTAATTATATCGATAGATTCGTATTAGTAATTAAACATTCATAAAGAATGAGCATCCATTAATGGATTTTTTTATATAGTTTTAACAATTAAACATTCTAGAGTGAGTACCGTATCCAAATGGCCAAATGTATGGTAAAGAATGATAATCCTTTGATGGATATACAATTTTGAATTTTAGTTAATTAGATGATCAGATTTTGGTTAATTAGTGTGTTTCAAAAGTGCGTAGTACTTGTAATATTTGTATTTATGAGATAGCGATTAACGATCTAATTTCGATTAAATCAAAGACTACAACAACTTCAGAGCAAGGTTCGCTACAACTTCAAGTGGATAACTTATATATATATAACTTCGTCAAATTGAAATAAAATCCATTACACACCATGCGGTCGATCTTATGATTATAACATTTTATTCAAGGGGCAGACGGAGATATGTTGCACACTGAAAGCCGATCTTCTTCATGAAAATAATTTTTAGCAAACAAAAGTAACTTTTTCCTTTTTCGTGTTGGGGGAGGTTATAAAATTTGCTATAGGTTGTTAATTGTTATGCTTGTCTTGTTATGACACCATCGTACGTATGTGTCATTATTAGCTACACTTATGATATTTGCGGCAAAAGCTAGTTGTAGCCACAAATCTTTGGATGTGGCTAAAAGTCATTGGCCACGGACCATTTGATTTGAAACTAAAATGGCATTACCATAAGCTACAAATAATAATATACATGACAAAAAATCAATTTCGGCCACAATTTTTATTAAGTGGCTGCAAGTAATATGATTGTAAAATTATTGCCATGAATAAAAACTTGGAGGCAATAAACTTATAAGTAGCTTTGATTTTTACTGGTAGCAGAAAATTTTGTAGCTAAAGTACTCAAAATTGCCACGATACTGATGGCTCAAAACTAAAAAAATCTAGTAGCTTTGAAATTTTACTTTTGTGGCCTATAATCTAATCAAATTATGATTAGCTACGTCATAACATTCATTGTGGCTATTTTGGTACACTTGCCACACTTCAAATCATCGTGGCAATGAATACGTGGCAATATGTGATGTTTCTTGTAGTGTAAATTATCTTCATCAATCATCATCTACCTTCTCGTCTATCTCTCCGGATCCGGTAGTTGGATACCTTATTCAATCTTCAGCACAAATCAATGCCTCAACCATTGTATCGCCCAAATAGGACCAGAATGGACTGAGAATCTGGCCGCCACAGCTGAATGTTGCCTTTGAGGCAACAAAAGATATGGGAACAACTAGGATATCCTTAGCCATCTCAGCAAGAATCGGATATATTCTAGAGTGTCGAGACCACCAACCCAAGATGTCAAACTTGGCATCATTACTCTCCTCATTGATGCCATCAGTTTGCCATTTCAAATAGATGTCAAACTCAGCAGAGCTACCTCCTGTTTCTTGCAGAAGTGCTTCCATTTTCCTCTTCATGAGCCTCTCCTCGAGCTTCTTAATCCGATCACCAACACCATCAGCAGAACTACCACTAACATTGCTCTCATTAGTGGTAGGCTCATATGCAGAGGATGGTGCTTTTGATCCATACTTCCCATTATAAACCTCAATTGGGAAAAAATCCCAATATACATCAGTAATTAAAAAAAAAATTCCAAAATACATAAGTTATAAAAAAATTTCCCAATCTACACATGTTTCACATTCACCGCCTCTGTCTAAGACAGTGAATGCAATCACCGTGTTAGACAAACGCGGTGAATAAGTCACCGCGTTTAATGAAAATGATGAATAAATCATCGTTTATCTAAAGCGGTGAAAGGTTCACCGCGTTTTACTTAAACAGTGAAGCAATCACCGTCTTTGTTAACAACAGTGAACTGATCATCGTATTCGTGCAAAGTGGGGAACACCTTCACCGCTGTAGGTTACGGCGGTGATAGTTGCCCATGTTTCCCATCCCAGGTAGGTGAGAGTTAGGTCACAACGACTTAACGTTCACCACTTTAGGGCAAGACGGTGACTGCCTTCAACGCTGTTGACAAACACGGTGAATGCTGACCGATTTTCATATAAATACCCCTCCCACGAGCAGTTGGAGAAACATAAACCCCCTCCCTCTTCAAATTTTAGCAAAAAAACCGAGCAACATACACAGAAGCTATTTTCCGATATGATATGATTTTATTTTGTATTGTTATATAATGATGTTTTTAGTAGTTATATGTATGTAATTAATTACTTATCTTAGCAAATATGTTATGTTAGTTGGGAATTTATGTTGTTGTTAGTTATGAGATGGAGTAATATTCATCGTACAATATGGTTTTGGTTAATTTTATTGGAATTAAGCTAATAGTTACTTATTGTAAATTGTAGATATGGGTAAAGTCAAGAAGTTTCAGCTTATTATTCGGTGGAACGGAAGGGTGACAAACTCTGACATTGGGATTGATTATGAGGACGGTGAATCCACTACGTTGAAAATTGAGTCGCGATTCACATGGCAAGAACTCTGTGACATTTGTGCAGACAAGGTTTGTACGAGCGGACAGATGAGAGTTGCTAAAATTACTTACCGGTATCCAGACATGAGTGTTGGTGGGGGGCACAATGCGCTCATCATCACGGAATGATGGGCGGGCCGGGGCAGGAAGTGGAGGATATGCCACGACATCCCTCTGTTGTGGCACAAATTGAAGTTGTACCTTAACTAATGGTACAAACTCAACTTGTACCTATACCTTTTAAAAAAAATCCTCATGGTACAAACTGAACTAGTACCTAAAACCTTATGGTACAAATTCAACTTGTACCTTCACATTCCGTCAACTTCCTTCGTGGTACAAACTTAACTTGTACTTTACGGACTCGAGACATGTACTATTTCTCACCTTCAAACTATGGTGCATACTCTGAGGATAGATGAATATTTGAAGCACTATGAGTATTTAAGGGTTTTTCTTAAGACATCCCAAACCTAGACAATATCTTTTGGATGTAGCTCTTTTTTACAATAATAGCTCCTTCTTCTCTCTTTTCCTGTAAATCTCCACACCTAAAATATTTTGAACAGCTCCCAAATCCTTCTGCCTTGCTGTGATATACACAAAAATCATTTGAACTTCTATTGTAGCCCAAATCAAGTATATAACTTCCAAACCTCTTGTATCACTACCGCGGAGTTTGCTTAAGTCCATACAAGGACTAATTCAACTTAAAACCATAATCTTCTTTTCTTGTAACCTGGAACCCATGGTTGAGCCTGAGTCCTATAAATTTCTTGTTCTAGCTCTCTATGGAGAAAATCTGTCTTCACGTCCAGTCTCTCAAGCTCCATGTATCGATGTGAAACTATTGCTAGTAATACCCTAATTGAAGTATGTCTACATACTAGTGAGAAGGTCATCGTAATCAACAACTTCTTTCTGCATGAAGCCTCTTATAACCAGTCGAGCTTAAAATTTAATACCCTCTACAGAGGGCATTCTGTTCTTCTTCCCGAAGATCCATTTTTTTATAACAATCTTCCTTTCTTGTGGTCGTCTGAAAAGTTCTCAAGTCTGATTCATGTCAAGGGATTCCATCTCAACTCCCAATGTGGCAGGCCACATAGTACAATAATATGGCCTAGGTCAATTAAAGGCTCTTCGATCAAATAGTTTTGATTTAGATAGAAAATTCCATTGAAATGACCGAAGATTCGTTGATATAAGGGAAAATGTATCAAGAATAAGTGTGACAAGCACTATAAATAAACTGTTATCAGAAATACCCCACACTTGAATTTTTCTTATCCCCAAGCAAACACTACTCATAATCATACAACTCAATGAACTCTAGACACCATCACTCAACCTTGATCTTAGGTAGTGGATGAGAAGTAACTTACAAGGTCAAAAAATAGCAGGAGAGAATCCTAACCACATTAATATGCAACAATATTATACCACACAATCCAAGCATCAATTACTAATAATGAATTAGAGTCTCAAAATATAAGGGGGACTTTTGATAAACTTTTAAGCTTCGAATGCTTTCTATTATCAAATTGACATATCTTTAAAGCACTTTGCCTAATTCAAACTCAAACTCTTTTTATGATTTTCAAATTTTCTCCTCTTGCAAACTATTATCTTTTTTTGGATTTTTCTTATGGTGGAGAGCTCTTTTTGAAATTTAATGACCAGTCGAGCAAGAGCTTAAAGCTCATATACTTCAACTCATGTGGACGGTAAAGTGAAATTAAGGGGTGTCACAAGATTTATCCATGCACTTAATAAAACATCCTCAAGTTGGCAATCATTTCAAACGGGTGGAAATTTTACTTGTACTAAAGAGGAACTAGTATCACCTTGCATGACTTCCCCACTAATGCTCAACTAGTATATCTTCGAAAACCCAAGTTTTAGTGCAATGAAATGATGCCTCACACGTTAGGCTTGCCTCACACTTTATTTCTTCACATATCATGGAAAATTTTAGAATAATACCTTGATGGCTAGCAAAATTTGCATTCTTCTAAAGATACAGTTCACCCTTCGAATTTTTTTTAAACATGAGACTCTTTTTGCATAATAAAAAATCTTTGAATATATCAAATAATATGACGTTCAAACACATCAAATGGTCACTATATTGCATTGACTATTGCATCCTTCATAGTAACTACACATCAAATGTCTCTCCTCTGTATGTCCTACATCTGCTCTCAACTCCGCTAGTTGGCCTCTAAATTCGCCATGCTGAGGTGGTTGTGGTAGTGGCGGATGCCCAACTACATATCCATGCTCTGGTAGTCTCACTAAATGCACTGTTGGTCTCCTAGCAGTCGTCCACGCAGAGTATGTGGGACAAGTGTTGCTTGCGAGGTCTACTCCCTTGCTTGTCGCCTTGTCAATGCCAAAGGTGAAAGCCGATTGATGATAGATAGGGTCCTTCCCTCGACAATGTTTACCAGAGCTCAAATCCGTACTCCTCCCTCTGCTTGTCGATGTGTTAGCCTATGGTGTAAATATAGCCACCTCCTGGAAATCATCATGGAGAAGTGATGGACGCGTACCTTAGAAGGTTGTCGACCACAATGCATGTTGGGTGAAGCCACTAGTGAGAAACCTCTCCGCTCACCCCAGCTTATCAGCAAAACCTAGAGAATGGGGTTTTTGGTTTCTGGCCGGAGTCCGTCGATCTCGAACTAACTTCTCCGAAATCTCCCTTCAACAACAGCTATTACTCCTCAAATCAATGATAGATGGTTGGGATTTGTGGTGGGAGAGACGAAAATGGCGATCAGAGAGGTTGGTTTTCAGGGCGAGATCGCGACGAGGGTTTCAGTCGTAGAGACCAGATAGTTGAAAAAATAAATAAGAATTGAAGTTAAAATTTTCATGTCACATGTCACGTCATTGCTGACTAAATTTTCTGTTAAATACTAACGGTCAATGCCGGTCAACATTAACGGAAAAATAGTTCGGGCCAGATTTGTCATATTGAATAGTTTAGGACACAAATGACACTTTTTAGATAGTTTGGGCTTCCTAGTGGAGCTATTTGTAGATTTTAAAAAGTTCATGTACCAAAATGCAAACAGAAAAATATAAGGTACTAAATGTAAGTTGTCATCAATATTTTTAGGACGTATATGTATTAATAATAATTTTAGATATTAAATATTAAGGTATATTAAGTTCGGGTACCAAAACTATAATTTTGTATATGAAGCCTTATGAAAGCAACATAGATGAAAGATGAGGGGGAAGAGAAAGTCAAAGGGGAATGGGAAGAAGGTTTACTACAATACTCTTATTAAAAATGTTTTTTTGGTGCTACCACTTAAGACTTGTTAACACCTATCTACGTGCGGTGGTGGTGAATATAAGTGTGCTTGATAGTAAAGTAGGAAATGAAAAGTAAAAAAATGACTATGAAAATTATAACTTCAAGAATAGAAGGTGTGGGAGCTCAAGATTCCGCCGAAACTTAAGCTGTTCCTTTGGCAGATCTTCTATCAGATTTTGCCAACGACTGAGGCGCTAATTGAGAGACGGGTCCACGTGTTACCTCGGTGTCCTGTGTGCTGGGCGGAGTCTGAAACGATGGAGCACCTTTTTTGGGAGTGTCCAGTCGCTACAGCCCTCTGGACGCATGCGGGATTGGAGCATCTGGGCCATGATCTGCCTAGACAAACCTTTCCCTTCTTCCTTAAAAAATGCTTGCTTAGGATGACTCAGCCCGCGCAGATTATGTCTCTAGTTACTTTGTTATGGCGTATTTGAAAGTCAAGGAATTGGGCTGTCTTTGAGGGGAAGCAGTTCTTGCTTCCTCAATTAATGTGGCAATATCATCAGCAGCTACATGAGTGAGTGAGCTTACCAGAGGATAGACTGAACCTGCCTCGAGTCCCCCAGCAGTTTTCTGTGGAGGATGGAACCTCGCGAAGTGTCGTCTGTATGTGGGATGGTGCGGTAAGTGCTAACTCTCATTCAGCGGCGGGCCTTATCTTGAAGGATGAGGGGAGCATGTGCTTTTGGCAAAGGGGGTGTTTTTCCTAACATTGTGGGTCCTCTAGTGGCCGAGACTCTTGGTCTTAGGGAAGGCATTCAGTGGTGTCAGACACTTGGCATCCATTAGGTGAGGTTTGAGGGTGATGCTAAGGTGCTTATTGAGAAGGTTAATGTCAAGGACGCGCGGGATGGGCCTGTGGGGGCCATCATTTCTGAGATTCTAAGTATGTCAGATGTAAATGGTGGTTTCCAGGTTCGGTTCGTAGTTCGGAATAGCAATATGGTAGCCTATTCTGTGGCTAGGAAGGCCATGTCTTTGTCTCCGGCCTCGTGTCGATTGTATGATTTCTATGCCTGGGTTGGGTCCAGGATGTAACTTGTGATCTTTTCAATGAATTGGATTATCTTTTGTCAAAAAAAAAAAAAAGAGCGAAGTTATAATGTAAAATTGTTTATTGAGTTGGATTTTGGATTTAATTAATTTATAGGATGAAGAGTAATGTTAGAGTATGTGTAGTACGAGTAGTATTATGTTATACTACGAGTACTGTTATGTAATTGGTCAGGGTTTTATTCCTTATCAGAGTCATATTAGTATTAGGGTTATTATAGAAGTCAGTCTCTGTACTCTATATAAACTCTATGCGGTTTCAGAAATAATACACAACA